CGGTAAACTAAAAACTTTCCACCTTCAAACACTAATTGATTTTAATATTTTAAATCACAAAATTAAGTTTTTCTCTCTTAATTTGTAGTTTTCACTTATTGATTAGTGGTTACTCTTTTTTTTTCCTAATTAACTACGACACCACCTTTAATATTAGTTGTCCATCACGTAATTCTTATTGTCCTTTTACTATCTTATTTTTTATTTTCAATAAGTTATATATATAGTATGTTTTTATATGTCTATGTGATACGTTTTCTTCTGTTTTCTTGTAGTTTTTCAACCATTTGGTCATTGTTTTCACTTATATTTTTTTAAGAGTTGATTAGACATCGTCACGATTGATCAAGATGACGCTTATTTGTTATATTGTGATCTTCCCTATTTTGGATCCTTTATTGGATTGGATACACATTATTCGTTTGTGGATAGCTTTTCATGTCGCTCAAGTCTGATTTATGTTTACCGGTGGTCTTCAGTAGTTTGATCTCCTTTTTTGTTCGTTGCCGATGCATCATATATGTTTGTATTTATCTTTGTTCGAGTTTTCATTGTTATATTTAATTTCCTTGTATGGTCCTTGTATGATCCTTATATAATCTTAAGTTACTAGTTTTGTTTCAATGGTTATAGAAAATTATCCTAATTATGTGCTTTAATTTACTATTATAATTACAAATCTTTATTATAATTAAGATATTTAATTTTAAATAAAATTAATGATTCTTTAAAAAAAATCCACCTTCAAATTAATTGAACACCAAGGAGAACTCCAAAAGGTATGCTTAAGATACCTTACGTGTGCCTCAATATTATCCTTAATTCTCTCCTGTAGCGTTTTTTTCCCTTTTGTTACTTAGTAGCTACTAAGCTAAACGAAATTTGAGTAAAATTCATAAATGATCATCGATTATAGAATATATTTTTAGTCTCTTTACTATTAAAAATTATAAAATAATTTTTTGACTAAATGATGTTATTTTGTTGAGTCTTTCGACTATTACAAATTATAAAATAGTCACATGACTATTCATATGTTCCAAACTCATCCTTTTTCGATGAAGAATTGATAATCATCTGAGCTGGACATTAAAATGCTAATTGAGATATGATAGTCATTTGAGATTATAATTAGATTTTAACTCAGTAAGCAGTTAACGTTCAGTTTATACTCTCGTCAATTTTTAATAAAAAAGACGAGTTTATCACATATGAATAGTTGGGTGATCATTTTGAAACTTTTAATAGTCTAAAAACTCAGTAAAGCACGTCCTATACTCGAAGGATCATTATGTAACTTTTAATAGTTATGACTCAACAAAGGACACTATAATTAGATGATCATTTATTTACTTTACCAAGGAAAATTTTAATTGGTTTGATATGATTGTTTGAGATTAATCGATAACCATTGTTATAATTTAAATATATATAAAAAATTATTCTTGAACTCTTAGGTTGATTTATTATAGAGTTATTAATTAAAGATTATATTATCGTTCTATTTCAAATAAAAGTAAATTAAAATTTTACTAAAATAAAGATAAAATATAATTATTATAATTATATTTGATCTTTTAGAAATTTATATCATGCAACCATTTTGTTTAATGCAATGATCTAACAATGATCCACATTGTCACTGTCGATCTTCATTATTAATATTAATGAACCACCATTTACTCAGTGTCACATTTTTCACCCACCAACATAAAACATGTAATAGATCATAACCAAATCAAAATTCAACAGTCAAGTAATAAATAAAAAAAAAGAGGTCAATCTCAAAGGTGAATTAAAGTATTTTGCTGATGAAAGTGAGTAACCCAATTTTAGCCGAAGGCTTTTGGTTCGTTACAGCAGTGGCGGGAAACATACCAGTGAAATTTCCCATCGAAAATTCAATTGCGAAACCCTAAATTCCTGAAATGTCCTTCTTCATCGATGAATTTCAAGGGTAACGTCTCCCTTCATTTCTTTGAAATTTGGTCCTATCTCTTGTATTCTAATCTCGAGAGGAAAAAAGGAACCCTAATTGGAGATTATTTGCTATGATCATGTCTTGCTAATTAAATTTTCATTTTGGAATTGATGTTTATTGAAATTTTACAGATTTAGAAGCTTTGCCCAATTCTTCAGAAGAAGTATGCGTTGATGCGTGATCTTGACAAAAGTTTGCAAGGTATTCCTTATTTCCTTTTAACTTCAAATTTTCAACTGTTTGGGATTTAATTGAAGTTTAATAAGTTTAATGTGTTAACTAGCTTATATGAAAAAAGAACTTCAAAGGTACTAAATTCAAAACCAAATTAATGTAATGGAAGTGAAATCCCATTTCATTTGGTTGGAAAACACTACCTTTTTGTTGGTTAATATGAGCAGAAATTGTGAGGCAAAATGAGCAACGTTGTGAACAAGAAATAGAAGATAGTAAACGAGGAGTAAGGGCCGGAAACATTACACCAGATACTTCACTTATTAGATTCTCCGATGAGGCACTCGATGAACAAAAGCATAGTATTAGGATTGCAGATGAAAAGGTTGCCTTGGCCATTCAGGCATATGATTTGGTGCGTTTGTTTCGTTTTTTGTTCCTTGGAGATGTTTGATCAGTGCACTTTTTATCTGATTCATATGCTATGGTTATGATTGAGATTTTTATTGCTTTATGGTTATTGGAGTTGCAGGTGTCTAGCCTCTAGGATGCTGCTTTAATGTAGAAAGTGTAAATAGATTATGCTGTTCATTCTTTTGTGGGGTTATATAATCTTCTAAATGCATGTGTTTTAGGGTAATAGTCTCCACTATCCTGTTTTTAGTGTTTCCTCGTCCTACTCTGTTTCATCGACTAGTGATCTAAAACTTACAAATACAGAGTCATATCAATAACATGGTGGATGGTTCTCTTATTCATGGAGAAGTATTTGTTTCATTTCTTTGCGGAAAGCTTTTGTGAAAGCAAAGTCGATTGGTGTTATTTCCAATACGATTGCTGTATTGATACTTTAAGTTGGTCATATTTGTTTGGAATCTTCCCGTTTGTGACATTAAAGCATATTAAGATTTCAAGGCTGGACGGAACTTGGTTTCAACCCTTTTGTACCCCTGCTTGATGTACCCCTGCTTGATGTAATCATGTTTCAGGTTGATTCATACAACAAACTTGATCAGTACTTGAAAAAGTCTGGCGAAGAGCTACGGCGTGGTATGTTGTTGATTTTCCTCTTCCGGCACTATTTAATGTATCCTTTGTTCCATTAACCCCCTCTTCTGTGATACATTTTTAATTTGTATTGTATTATGTTTTTTTAGTGGAAAGAGAGAATACTGTTGCTAATGCAACTTCCCAGATTCCTGATGGAACCACTAAATCTGGAAGATCTGAAAGCGGAAGAGAGCGTAAAAGTATGCACCTATCATATAAGCTCGTTACAATTCCTTTATATTGTTCAATGGTCATCCATTTTGGTTTCCTTCTTCAGATAAAGCTCCATAATATTGAACGTTAATTCTATTAAGCGGAACATCAACTTCCTTCTATTACATCTACATGCAAAACGTTATATTATTCATGATATCATGGTAATCAATCACGTATTTCAGTAAAACACGACTGGCAACAGCAGCTGCTTCTTCTGCAGCAACAGAAGTGGCAGCAACGGCAGCAAATCCAACCGGTATGGAATTAGACTTGCCAGTGGATCCTAACGAGCCGACTTATTGTTTGTGCAACCAAGTTAGCTATGGCGAGATGGTGGCATGTGATAACCCTGCTGTATGTAACTAAGTTCCATATATTTTTTTTCTCCGAACTATTTTCGGTTGCACTCCCAACTTTCGATCTGATGTAACTCCCGCTCCTTTTAACAGTGCAAGATAGAGTGGTTCCACTTTGGCTGTGTTGGTCTGAAAGAACAGCCGGGGAAATGGTATTGTCCGGATTGCGCAGCACTGAGAAATCGTCGTAAAGGAAAATGATAACGATATATATATATATATATATATATCTGTTGGGAAGCTTGTGCTGGTGCATTTGGATTGCCATGCTGCAAAATCTAACTTTGCATAATCATGTTGTTAACGTTTCCAAGCATCTTTGTTTGCATTTGGAACTTGTGTTCAACTATTTATAGCTGCTTGGGGCTTTTGTACCATTTTGTTTAAAAGCCTGTTGGCTGAGACCCAGGTATAAATGAGTTTTGTATCTTTTAATGGAAAAATAAAAAGATATGTTACAAAACTAGAAAATCATAGTCCTATGGAAGCCAAATATTAGTTTAAAATGGGGATTTATCTTGGCTTATATGTTGATGATCTCTTGATTTAAAATAAATCTAGGTTTTTTTTTCTGTTGGGGGGGGGGGGGGGATTGTTTAAACTACACCCATAACTAGGGCAGCCTGACCAAGGAAACCGATAAAACCAAAAATTGATTAGAATTGAATTATGCAGTTTAATTTAGTTTGAGATTTTAATTCGGTTTAGACATTTTATTATACAATTTGGTTCGATTTTAGTTATTTTCTTTGAAACTTGTTTGTTTCAAATCAACACGAATTTGAAAAAGATAATGTTTCAAAATATTCATTTTAATTTGTTATAAGATAAAAATAAACAAGTTCACGAAATTAATAATATTATTTTTTTGAATTTAAACATATATATTTACATTCGGTTTAAGCTTGAAGTTTGTATTTTTTATGTTGAATTAACAAATTCAATTTAAATATGAATAATTAAAAACACTATAATGTCAAAATTAGTCTTCAACATGTTAGGATGAAAATGTTTATAATATTTGACGGAATATTCACTTTAGTTCTTGTTCTTTTTTCTTAGAGATTTTGACTCTCAACGTTTCCTTTTATGATAAGAATGTCTATATTTTTTAGTGTTAACAATTTCTTAACTAATAATTTCATTTATAAAAGGGTTTTTCCCGTAAAATAAAATGTTAAGTGCCAAAATGCTCAAGAAAATAAGGGATAAAATGATTATTCAGTCAAAAATTAAAATCATTTTTTAACATTATACTATTAAAATAGTAAAACCGAACCAAATTAAATCTTAAATTTTAAGTTCTATGTAATTTAGTTTTCGTTAAAAACTGAGCCGAACCGAGAACACTCTTAGTTTGCATGGTCGGAAACGAACTTCTTATATATTTGTGACGTGTTTTCGTCTTTGTACGGCGTCGGTGTTCAGTGTCTCTAGGGAATTGGGTAAGTTCACCCATCACTGTTGCGGATCCACTCGCCTGCCTTTGCTCATTTCACCATTCCTTATTTTGTTGACTTTTATTATCAATAAGAGAAAATAACCTCAGTGACCGAAAATGCCTTATAATATACGATTTTGACCAACTTTTTTCGATTTGCCAAAATGACCAACAAAATCGCAATGCGATCTCCAGTATCGCAAATCAGTTTCCAGATTCGCAACGCGATTTTGACTATCGCATTGTGATTTTCCAAATTCGCGTTGCGATTTTAGAAAATCACAATGCGAATATGTAAATCGCAACGCGATTCTGACTATCGCAATACGATTCTGACTATCGCAACGCGATTCTAACTATCGTAACACTGAATTTCAAATTCGCAACATGTTTTAGTTTCGCAACACAAATGTTTTGGGTATAAACTACGCAGCAGCAGTAACTCATAACCTAAATCCCTAAATCGCAACTCATTCCATCTCCATCTATCACTCTCTCCAGCGACATCCGTTCCTATATCCAACGACATCCTTCCCCATCCGCAACAGGTTTTTAGTTTCGCAGCTCGTTTGTTTGGTAATTAATTTACTACAATGAAATCATCTAATTGATCATGTTTGGATAGATTTGTATTTTGGAGGGTCATGGGAGAATATTCATGGGTTTTACAATATATGTCTTTACCCATGAATCTTCAACTAAAACTGTCATTAAAAAAGTTAACTTATGAAACTCTAATGTTACGTGTTGCAAATAAATTGAATTTAGAGCCCCTAAGTGGATTTAAGCTATCTTATCAGAAAAGTAAAGTTTATTTGTTAACCGACAATGAAGATGTTGAACGATTCATTGCTTACATTAGTGTTTCGCAAGATGATGTTACATTGTATGTTGTTGAACCTAGAAGTAGTGAAGTTGGGTCAGTAGGGGTAGTAATCAACTAAGTTTTTCAACCCCCAGTTTATGGTGCTCAAATTTATGGTTTCACCACAATTCATCACCAATCAAATTTGTTTCACCACATTTCCAATACCAAACACAATCTCAAAATCCACAACATTTCCCTAATCCAAATCCAATAAACTTTCAGCACCAAATTCCGGTTTTCGTATTGACCAGTTAGACGATGATGAGCCAACAGAAAAAATTGTGAGTACTAGTCAGTATTCGAAATTTGATCTTGGTCAATACCCAGACTTTGATCTTGGTCAATACTCAGATTTTGATGATGTTTCAAAAGAAGAAATAGACCCTGCGTGTAATGATTTTGATATTGGTCAATACCCGAATTTTGATGATGAACAGTCGCTGCCGAGGAAGATGTTGTTGATGATAATGAGGAGGAAGTTACGACTGTGAATGAACATGTTGAACATCCATTCTGTAATTCATATAACCCTGAAGAAGAAAAAGAAGAAGAAGAAATCCTCGAAGAAAAGTCCCCGAAGAAAATGCCACGGGAGTATAACTGGAATATGCCAGAATTACTTCAGATACCGGAAGAATAGTTGGTAAAGATAGCGTTGATTGTTACACAAAAATTATTCGAATCAAGAAAGATGATTGTTTTGATACAAAGGAAGACTTGAAGATAGCTTTGTATACGAAATGTGTGGAAGATGGCTATCAACTAAAAGTTAATAAATCAAGCAAAGATCGTTTCAAAACAAGGTGTATGATTGACAAAAACTGTACGTGGCGTATGATTGCAAAGAGGATAAAAGATTGCGAAATGTTTCAAGTTAGGACTTTTATTGATAAACATACATGTTCAAGAACCCAAGTTTTTCCTCACCATAGACAGGCAAATAAAAAGGTGTTGGGTGATTTTCTGGCTGAGTTAATGTTTTTGAATGGCAGGGTATATCGGGGACATGAAATTATGACTGACATGAATGCTCGGTTCAAGATTAGTATCTCATATTCTCAAGCTTGGAGAGCCAAATGTTATGCCTTGGAATTGTTGAGTGGGTCGCCAGAAGCATCGTTTGCCCAACTGCCGGCTTATGTCACAATTTAAAGCTGAAAAATCATGGGTCGGTAACTCATATCAAATAGATAGAGATGACCACTTTGAGTTGTTGTTTATCGCCATTGGTGCTGCGGTTAGTAAATCAATATAATTTTGTTGACTCATTTTTGTTAGTTACATGCATTTCACATTTAAATGATTATATTCTTGTGTATATTATTTTGTAGATTCGTTCGTTATTACTTGCATGCGCCCAATTATTATAGTTGACGGAGCACATTTGAAAGGTCGATACTTGGAGTAAACTTATTAGCAGTAGTCATGGATGCTAACAATGGGATATTGCCAATAGCTTACGGGGTTGTCAAATCTGAAACCTCTGATTCATGGACATGGTTTATGGGACATCTTAGGGATTGCATAGGTCCTATTAGCAATCTGACAATCATATCTGATAGGGCAAACTCAATTGACAACACTGTTAGAAGGTGTTTTCCAAAGCTTTTCATGGACTTTGTGGTGTTCATTTGTATAGAAATCTAAATCAAGGTCTGCTGGTATAAAAAATCACAAATGGACATACTGGAATGCTGTAAAAACTTATCGGGAAGTGGATTTTAATAAGCATATAAATTGTTTAAGACGTGTTTTGCCTCAATGTGCTCAAACACTAGAAGATGTCGGGTTTGAAAGATGGTCAATAGTACATCAACTTGTAGCAAGATATAGTTTCATAACGTCTAATAGTGAAGAATCAATCAACGCTCTAAGTCGTCATTCCAGAAATTACCCATTATTATGTTAATGGAGTTTTTCGAGCCTCTATTCAACAGTGGTACTACAAGAAAAGAAACCATGCATGTATTATTTTTTTAAATTCGTAACTTATCATATATTTTACTAAGTATTATTTATTTAAATTTACAGGAACATTGGAACATCGTGTTACACCATGGACTGAAAAAAAGATAACGAAACGTGTTGTGAAGTCAACATCATGGAGAGTTGAACCATGTTCAAACAATTGTTTGAAGTACTGAATAATAACTTAAATGAGCTTGTTGATCTAAATGCAAAGACGTGTAGTAGTATGAAATGACAAACATCTAGTTATCCGTGTGGTCATGTTATAAAAGTTGCTCTTCATCTAAACCAAGATGATTCAAGCGCATACGATATGGATTGCTACACTACAGAAGTATATCAACATACTTATGCTGAGATTATCTACCCTATTCCACATCCTTCTGAGTGTGACATACCAGATGACTTACAAATAGTTTTGCCACCAGCCATGGACATAAGGCTACCTGGCCGACCAAAAAGTCACGATCGTATACCGTCTAAGGGTGAAGAGAAGAAGAGATCGACATGTAGTCGGTGCAAGGAAAGTGGTCATACAAGGTTGACATGTGGATCACCAGTGTCATCACAATCATCTTTTCCTCTACCAAAATATGGATCCTCATCAAAATCCAAAGCTCATATGGGGTCAAGCAAAAGACAATCAAAATCGCAATCAAAATCAAAATCCCAATCATAACCGGCTTCACCTTTTGGGACTATTAACTTAGGTGATTTTTAAATGAAAACGTTGTATTATGTGTATTTTATGTGTAAACTTTTAACATTTTCAGTTAGGTATGTATTAGTAACTTGAGTTTGACATTGCTATGATGTTCAGTTGTTATCACTTATTACACATTCATTTGAATATCGCATAGCGAATTTGACTATCGCAACGCGAATTTGACTATCGCAATGCAAAAATCGCAACGCGAATTTGATTATCGCAACGGGAATTTGACTATCGCAAAGAGAAAATCGCAAGCGTATTAGACTATCGCAATGCAAATTGACTTTCGCGTTGCGATTTGGCTTTCGTATTGCGATTTTGACTTTCGCATTGCGATTT